AAAAAAAAAAAAAACAAAAACAACAATAATAATAAGAAGAAGAATAATAATAGGATTTGCAATTGTTTGGGCCCCGATGAACCCGCCTCGAGGTCCTCGGAGACAGCGAGCTGGAAAGTCTCATTGGAGAGGCCGGGTTTCAGCGAGGCCTCGGCGGAGCTCTGGGGGGGGGGGCCTGAAGGCTCGGCTCCTCTACAGGAATCACGGAAGAAGCATGATCCTAAGTTCCTAAGGTCCTTCCTAATGGTCCCAAGGTACCTATCCCACACAAGAGACACAAATACCCGGAAGAGAAACTGCGACGATTTAGATGAAAAAAACTGTCGATTGCACGGCCGAGCCCGAGGCCTGGTAAAAACCCGGATTTCCTCGAACCTGGCAGTGTTCCGGCAATGGGATCTTCTCATTTGGCACGGCAGTCTCGTACTTAGGGAGGGCTTGATTGATGGCTTCAACATTTCTTGCACAGGTGGGTTGTCATACATGCCAGCTCCAGGAATAGCTAGTTCTTAGCTCCAGCAGCTTCGTGTCACCGGGCGGCGGGCCTGAAAATAGCCGAGGTTTCCCATCACGATGGTGTCATCCGAAGCCTTCGTCAGCAGGGTTGCTGGGAAAGTCGGGAACCAAGTACAGGTAGCTTTAGAGCGATGAGTGCCCTTCGGCAAAGCAGAGGGCCCTGCCTCTAAAGCCCCAGTGCCGGTGATCTCGAACTGGTCAGGCACGACGCTTTCATGAAGAACGCTGAGACAAAAGCAGCTAATGTCAACTCAAGGACCCTATCTTTATGTCATAAATTGTCATAAACCATAAAACTCACCAGCGTGCTTCATGCTTTTCGGCACGCCTTCAGTTGGACACGAGGGGGGGCCCCGACCTGCATACCTTTCGCCATGGCAACTGGCCAGCCCTCGTCGCCGAGGATCATTGCCTGACCCTCCACCTGGCAATCATCAGCACAATGAAAAAAACGTAGAAACAGGCATAGTGATCCTCATAGTTCCCTTGCGGCAGTATGACCATTCAAGCACCCCTGTAGTAAGCCTTACTAGTGGCGACTCTGAGCATGCGCGGCAGCGGACTTGCAACGAACGTGTCGGAACCACGTACAGCTGCCGAAGGACGTACCTTCAGCTGCTGAACATATGTAAAAAAAGCGACCTGTTGTTGCTTGCACCACCCGGTCCGGCTCACGTTGTGTCGCAGTTGCTGCCTGCAAGGTGAAGTCGCCATGATCTGCTGTAGCTTAAGTGCCACGTGTGACCTGCCTCGCTGAAGGACATCCACAGGACGGAGGTTGTCCATGTCGTGCTCGGCCTGCAAAGATGCCGCGATAGCCTTACACACTGAAACGCTAGTGGCTGGCGCTCTGCGCCTCCTGAGCGGTCACAAGCCAAGTCGGCAACACATGGACTGCCGCCGTCAAGGTGTGCCTTGGTCTCTGCGTTGTCAACTTGTCAGCTTCACACGCGACGATCAGTGAATGTCGGTGTTTCTGTAGTGCGATCGTGAGAGCGAACAACATCAAATGCCGAGAGCAAGTTCTTGCTGGCAAAGCGGTGCTTGTTGTGCATACCCGTTCCAGGTAGGACCTTCCGCATCCATCGCTTTACTGGAACATGACACAGTTGGCCCATGACCGGCGCTGTCCGAGGAATGAATTTTTGAAGTGAACCCTCTCTGCTCAGGACAGGTGCTCCGTGGCGAGCGTGAACTCCGCCCGGCCGCCACCTACCTCCAGGGATGCCCAGGGCTGTCTGAAATTCTGGAATATGCGTGTATTCTGAATCAATAGGTAGCAAGTTCATGTAGATGTGTAACTACAGTTTGTATGGGCCCATGAACCACAAACATCACCATCGGGAACATGAAAAACAGTAGCCAACGAAACACCACTTCACTTCAGATGGGGCTGACAGCCTTCGTGCAAGGCACAAACGGTTTGTGTGGTTCGAATTTCCTTTGGAGATTCAAGTACTGCAATGTTCGGTCCCGCACCCAAATCTTGGTGCTGCACCTGAAAGCTCGACTTAAAATGCACAAACCCAAGAAAATCCCAGCTTCTTCATGATTTCAAACATGGCCAACATTGGCCAACACTCGCCTGCACCACAACACCTGCACCAGAAAACAGACCCCAGGCAAATCTGCCGCTGAGTGGCTGCGACACCATCCTTCAGCTCAGCCAGGGTGCGGCCATCAGCGAGGTGCTGTGGCCAGCGGACCACCTGAGTTTCTGGTACGCCATTTGGGGGTTTTTTCAAGGGCTTCTGATCGCTCTGGAACAGCCTTCACCTCAGAAACTCTCTCATGCAAGGGTGCCTCCCGGTAGTAGCGCTTCAAGGGATACTCCGACAGCTTCAACGCCGGATTGAGAACCAAGTTCACCTCCCGAGTCGCGGGACGCAAAGGCCAGGGACTTACGGAGCCCACGCCGTTCCTGGCCTCTGCATTGAACACCATTCCGAAGAGAGCCAGCGCTGTCGAAGCCGATTGAGCCGTGGTCTCGGAACGGCAGAGAAGGCCCAGCACCGTCGAGCCACATGCCCTCCGAGGTCGACACGCTGAGGGGATCGAGGATGCCGTAGACCCTGCGATTGCGACAAGACGGAATCAGAGAAAGGGAAAAGTTGAAAGCATGTAGCCGATGATTTCCGAGAGGCGTGGCACGGCCAGATCCTTTTTGGCCGCCCCCTCTCAGACAGGGCTTGGGGCCAGGCGTGATCGGTGAGGCAGCGTCTGGTTTCGCAGGCGGGATCTTCACCCTCGGCTTCTCCATCCAAGCCAGGTGCATTGGGAACATGGGTCCCTAAACCAGCGAGTTTCCTGAGAGATCAAGAAACTACCACATCAGCATCTTCAATCGCTAAGCCTCCACCCTCCCGTTGCCGAGGCCAGTTCTGGAAGGCAGCAGGCGCCCTGTTGAAGATCTTGGCAGGCTGAGTAAACCTCCATTGCGTTGGAGGGATTTGCGATGTGTGGGAATGCGCGGGCGTAAGCTCTCCTCTCTCACGGGGCACCAACGTAGCCATGATCGTCATCTCTAGTATCAATCAAGCATCTTGCATGTAGCGGAAATAAGGATGGTGCATCTGGGACAATCGCGGGAAAGGGATGACGACTTTGGCTACAGTTCTTTGCAAAGCCAACCGCAAAGGATACAGCACGAGGACACATCATTGGCTTGCAGGCCTGTCGTGCTTCGCGTGCGACAACACCTGCCGTTGGGCACAGGCTCCCAGAGCACGAACACCCAATGACCGTCTCAAGGAAATTTTCAATAAAGGTATCCACAACAGTTTCTAGAAGCCCTACAGGTCTACGCTACTGGGCAGCCCATCTAGCAAAACAGACTTTGCCGCCACCACTCCAGAGTCAGAGATCTGAGCTGCGTCCCCAATCCTTTGCCCGCACTCGCACAAGGCTCTGCAACCTTTGCCGTAAAACTGATACTAAACTTGTGGTTCTATGCAGCTCCCGCATTCGCGTCCGGAAACCCCTGCAGGGGTGAAATATGTGAGAAGATCCGACTCGCAAAAAAGGTTGCTAAGCCTGAACTCGGCCCTAAACCTAAATCCCTACAACCTAGATCATATAGCCTTACAGTATCCCACTAACCCCGTAATTCCTTCTGACCCTCCTTGATTGCCAAAGCTCCGAGCACCTCGGATCGGAGCGCAGCGACCAGCCCATAGGCACTGGCCTGAAGGCATTGACACTGCAAGAGCTTGCGGTGCTCTTTATGGGGGTCTCTGGTTTTGGAGTTTTAAGATTGGGGTTTTCACGAGTTTCGGGGTGCTCTTCTTGAGTCTGCGGCTATCGGCTTCAGGGTGTTGAGCTTGCCAGGTTTAATGTTCAGCCTACGTGGTAGGTGCGGTTCAGGGGAGTCTAGGAACCTGCCGTTGTAGTGGGCCGTAGTTTGGGAATGTTTCCGTGTTGGTGCTGTTGAACCCTAAACCCTAAACCCTAAACCCTATGAGTGTTGCAAGCGCAGCACAGTGATCTTGCATGCGACTGTTGGAGATTCTGTCGAGGTTGGCTCCCCTGGGTGAAGGTAAGGGGCTCGACACCACGATATAATATACCATAATATACTATAATATACTATAATAAACCATAATTTACTTCCTTTTTTACTATAATAAACCATAATATACTATAGTATACTATAACAAACCATAATATACTATAATATACTATAATAAACCACAATATACCATAATATACTATAATAAACCATAATATACTATGATATACTATAATAAACCATAATATACTATAATATACACCTCTGTTTGCTGAGATGGCTGCCGGCAACGCAGCGCTCTGCTCATCGGAAGCCAGCCAGTCGGAGAGCGCCTGAAGTGCTCATGATCCCTTTATCATAAGGATCCGACTATGTGGGGAGTCTATTTTGCCATAGAGATCTGTGCTTAGGACTGTCAGCTTTATCTCAAGGGGGTCCTTTCTGTCATGATATTTTGCAAGACCCTCTGTCCGCTCTTTTCTCCAAATCTCAGATGCAAACTCTGGTCTGGTCTGGCTCCTGTGTCAACAGCAGTGGCGCACACGGCTCCGATCTTGCTTGCACCGCGTCTAACCATTCAGAGTGGTCTGCAGGGAGGAAGGTCCAACAATGTCCAACACGGATATTGGCATCATCCAGCGCTTACATGATTAGAGCCATCAGCTCGAGACGGCTGTCCTTGCCGGCGGCCGGCTCCTGCGCGGCGGCATGAATGACCAGAAAGCCCCCGCGAATGAAAAGGCCTGCAGACCCAAACCCTAAACTCCTTTCCCCGAAAAAACCCTTGCAGCACATTCACAATGCTTCTCTTGCAATGAGCACCTCTTCATCTTCCGGGTCCCTCTGTTCGGGCTTGGCAATGTCATACTGCCCCTGGCAAGTCAAGGGAAGACTTGGAGCTGCTCGGCAGCTCAGCCGGATCAGCGGGTAGAACGACCCCAGCCATGCATGACGACCTCCAGAAGCTCCAGTGCGTGCACCTTTCGGGCCACCCGTGCTCGCGCAGGTCACCGAACGAACATTACTGGTTGTAACGTTGCACGACCATGGTAAACGCGCGTTGACTTGCAAAAACAAGATCGCACCAACGCCGATGGTGACAGCAACGGCGATGACCACAACGATGAAGAGGAAGATGAAGATGAGTATGATGCTGCTGCTGCTGCTGATGATGATGATGATGACGATCGATGACGAAAAAGAAGACACATATGCTTGAATATCCAGATCCATTTGACTAGACGACGACGACGACGACGACGACGACGACGACGACGTCGAAGACGACGAGGGAGGACGACGTTGATGCCGACTGCATGAGAAGAGGTGCTGGTGCTTTCTTGTGGTGGAAGAGGTGACGTCAGCCGTGGTGATATTAACAACGTGATTTCTCATATTGGTATAGATGTTGAAAGCTACAGATTCTCTATCACAATACCATACATCGACATGGTCTACAGCATCATCATCCTCATCCTCCTCAACAACACCTGTTAGTCTCATGAGTCTGATTCACCATTCTCTGCGTTTCCCACACAAGCTTGCACACTGCCAGGACTCCATAATATAACACACCATCCACCCGAAACCCTTATACCCTAAACCCTAAACCTCTGAAACTCCAAACCCTAAACCCCCCAACCCAAGTTTGAGAGCCGCACGTGGCGGGCTGAAATGGGCGGCCCGGTATCCTGCCCCGGTGGAGGCAGGAGCTTCAAAAGATGAGGCCTGAATAAATGGAGTAGAGCTTCTGTAAACGATTCCTTTGAAGGGAATTTTGCTGTTGTAGGGTCTATATATAGAGGCTCAGAATTGCGTGCCTTGGACAGGCTCCAATAACTATAAGGGCTTCATATAGGGGCCTTGACAATTCGAAACCTGATTTTGCGGAAATTTGTGGCATACATATGTTGGAGAGCAGAGTACTATTAATTGGCAGTCATTAAGGCCGCTGCATTACACTGGTAGGGTTGGATGAGCCTCGCCCTCCAACCTAAGACGATGTGCAATGACCGTGTTCATCACATTTTGGGGTTTGCTAGATCTCAACAAAGATGCGTTCCAGAGCTTCAGAGCTTGCGATCTGCCTTTTCAGTGACTCAACCATCCACCAACCCAGATGTCAATGTGCACTAGCTCAACGCCAGTTCTTTCTGATTTCTTTCCATAAAAATTCTGCAAGTCTAGGGTCTAGAGCCCCGCCATCGCGAGTGCGCACCCCTTGCTAGAGTTGTTGGAAGGCAGTCTATAACCCCTACTAGTCCGACTGTCCTCTCTCCTTCGGTCCCAAATCCTTCGTGCCCTGGCCTGCAGGTCGATCCTGCGCCCGTTGCAGACCTGGCGTGCAAATCCTCCGATGCAGCGATTCTGCTGGCAAAAGACCGGGGCACGTGCCCACACAGCTGGCGGCACGGAGCCTCCGCCCATGTGAGAAAAGAATTCTGCCACAGCGGAAGCGGCTCAACCTTGCAATCCAGCAGCTCCCCTGCCTTCAGATGTCAGGCTGGCCAGCAGCTGTCTCTCCTATGCATCGTGCTTGTATGCAGCCATCGCATCGGGCCCACCATTATCAAATCCCGGATCCTCCGGTGCAGCCCCAGAAGCCAGGCTGGCCTGAGCCCACAGGCGGTCACGAGCTAGCATTGCTCGTCACTAGTGCGCCAAAGCTGCTCTAGCTGCAGTATTCTCCTCCCCTGAGAGGTCTCATCCTGCATCCTGCTGGGCTGCTCTTATCGGGCCGTAGGATCCGAGCCTCTGCTGTCGGCCGCAGCTGCAGGTCTAGCTTCTTCTCCACCGCCAGCCTGGTGGGTCCAGTTCACTGACGGCAGACACTGACACCCGAGCCGAGGGAGACTGCAACATGCCATCTGATCCATTGATACTCGAAGACAGCAGAGCCATGAACTTCGCGAGACCTCATCAGCTTTCTGGCTCCTAAGTTCGCCATCCGATCCGCCATCCCACGACTTCCACCCCAGTTTTGCCGGTGAGAACCTGTCCCCCCTTTTGAGCCCCAGAGCTCTCCACGCCTGCACAGCTCCTCCACGCGGCCCGCCGACAAGTCCGGGTCTGGCGTATGCTTGGGGTATCTTGGGGCTCTCGGAGCCCTTGGGAGCAGTTAGGGTATAGTTGCCTCCCCCGAGATTCTGGCCCTGCGCCTCGGAGCTGATGCTACTGAGTGCGTTACGCATGCAGTCATCCGGAGTGCCGGAGTGTTGAATGCAGCTCAAAGCGGATGGACAGGGTAAAACCCGGAGTCTCATCCACCTGCCCGTAGCGCCGTCGGAAGAGCGAGGCCCAAGAATTTCAGGAAGCTGAGCTTTTGCCTGGTGCAGGGCTGCGCAAACTAGAGACCTCGATAGCCTGCGACCTGATGCGACGGGAAAGCACCAACCCTTCTCCCAGCTCACGGCCCAGAGGTTTCGGGCCAGTTTTCGTCTTCTGCGAATCACAGCCGCGATGGGACGTCGGCTCCAAGTTCGTGTCGAATCCGTGTCACCTCGGCTCCACTGATGCAAACACTCCCGCTCTCCGGACAGTCCGTCGGAAGCAGACCCTTCCGGCATAAAAAGTCCCTAGCGATTCTGAGCTTCAGCGCTGAGCCTTACGGGGCCCTGCGGGCTTCGCCTGGCCTTGGGGCTCCGAGGCTCCGGCCGTGCTCTCGTCCCAGCCAAGGTCTGCAGCCAGCGCCTGCAGGAGCCCGAGCCCGGGCGGAGCCAACTCCAGGCACCTGGCAGGATCGGCTTAACTCCCTGGTCCAGTCACTCTGCTTATGCCTTATCGCGCTCCTTCTTCGTGTCGTGACCATTGCTTGGCTTGCAGCTGCTGCCGCTAGAGGTGGCACTAGCAGCGTTGCTCAATCTCGGCCCTTGGGGATCCTTGAGCCCCGACTCGACACCTCGCCTTGCAGCGGCAGCCCAGCGGGCGCTCGGGCCGCTGGCTTTGGCGGCTCCAAGCGCCGTCAGGCTCTGGGCGAGGTCCCTGCGAGACTCGGGCTTGGCTTGGGCTCTGCTGTGCATCTACCCCCTGTCGCACAACCTGCCGGGGTCGCGACTCTGCAAATGATCCCTGATCTTGCGATATGTTGCTGTGCGGGTGCTGCTTTACACTGCCTTCCTTGCTACCTTAATTGCGAAGATGTGACTTAGCTGTTGCTTTGACAACGGAGCCGAGTGTGTTGACAGCCCGATGGACGGTAACAGGCACCTCCAAGAAACAGGAGGCCAGTTTTGGTGGCGAGAAAAGCCCCTTCTCCGCGTTGCAAGGTGCGTCGTATCCAGGCTGCACAGCTGGATCCTTTGAATAGTCGGTTGACACTAGCATTAACCTGATGTTGGTAGGGCTAGGTCCTGAGTTGCTGAATGTGATACTGCTACTGCCTGGAATTGGTCTGGGCCTGGCGCTTTGTTTGAATGTTTTGCGAGAGGGCGGCAGCTTGACTGCCAGGGCTGAAAGAATCGAGGACTTCGAGGGACAAAGTTTGCCGCGGAAGCTCGAGCTGCTGAAGGTGATCATGGGCATTTTTGCCCTTGCTCTGCTGCCTCTCTCCTTGAACAGCTTGGCGGGCAAGCGCCAGGAGCAAGGGCAGCCAGCGGCGAGCCCTGCCTTATCCACATGGCAATTCGTCTCCTACTGCAATCTCTGAACCAAAACAATCCCCAGAAAGATTTGGAGGCTAAGATTCCCAGAAAGCAAAGTGAACACAAGTGAAGCAAACTTGCAACGCTACTCTGCAGCAGGTTTTTCTGCGGCCTGCTTCGGGGACCATCGCCCAGCAAGCTTCGATGGCGGCAGCCAAAGAGTCCAATTCACGCGCCGTGGTCGAACTGACCTTCCCTCCTGATCGAGATTGACCGCTACCACCACCGCCACCACCACTACCACCACCATCTGAACGATCGCCATGCTAACCACCAGCGACACGACAAGCCCAGAACAAGACGTCATGGCGACTCAGGGGACGGAGTATGGTGATGAGGACCTATGACCTCTGAGGACGAGGAGGACGAGGAGCAGAGGATCCAGGTGTCGAACATGAGGACGACATACGATTCAGCAACAGACTTCTGGTCCTGACGATAAGGGGACTGAAGATCATCGGGCGCACTCAGCCCGATCGCTATCTGAGCCAAAGCCGCCGAACGACTCGAAGCTTTACCCGAAGCCTGCCTCGAACTGAAAGCATCAGAAACTCGTGTGGCTGTTCCCTGTAATGCAGTAATTGCGTAGATTCCTTGCGTACTCCCGGCCTGCGGAAGCCACCAGCGGCACAGCCACCACATGGAGCTGTGGCGAGTTCTTCTCTTGCCGGCGCGCGTTCACCGCAGCGCCCCCTGCTTCCGTCTCGGCCTCCGCTGCGTTTTGCTGCTGCTGCTGCTGCTGCTGCTGCACTTCTCCTCCTCCTCCTCCTCATCCTCC